AATAACCCAGGAATCCCGAGGGACCAGACCCAGTGAAAAATAGTATTCTGTGTATCTTGTGGGCTGGAGTTACTGGTCAGCACAGTGATTACAGCAGCCCACAAGATGCGCTCAATAGCTGGTATTTTCTGTTACATACAAAATACTCCCCCCACCCCCTGATTTCAGGTTCTAATCTCCAGCCACATTCCATAGTGGGTGCGACACAATGGCATGCATTCACCTCCAGTTTACCTTACCTTCAGCATGTCTTTGTATCTGCCCATCTCTGCATGAGCAGTGATGAGGCAACCCAAAACCCGAAACCTGCCAGCAGGATCCGCAGACTTCTCCAAAACCCTCATCCAGACTCGCAGGGCCTTTTCGGTCTGATTAGACTGATAAAGATGAAGTCCTTTCTCTATCTGGTGCTTTGTCTGGTCCTGACCCATCTCCCATGCATTAAAAAGCCTCATACACTAACCTCTAAGGACAGCAAAAAGGAAGTGCTTACAAGAGAACACAACTTAAAATGCCTCACTAGAGGAGGGCAGGTTGTGTGCTCAGAAGGCCCGGAGCCGTAGAAGCCGCCATGTCAGGGGGCTGGAGCTGTGGTAGGCAATGGCAAGAACTGGTTGCTCCCAAATCCAGTAGGCAAAGATCTTCCTCACTAGGGCTCCATCAGTGCATTTGCCTGTCCAATCTCATAAACAAAGACGAAAAGCACAACAGGGAGAGAAAGAGAAAAATCTCAAGCGACAGGAGTGAAACTCAATCTGAGCAGTCAGTGCTGGTCTCCTCTCCATTGGCTGCAGCTGCTCCTGCCAGTCTGCCTCACGTGGCTCCCAGGAATGCTAGTCAGGCTTCTCAGCTCCCAAGGTCACAGTGTGCCAACTGCCCACCCCTGCCCACCAATATGCAGCTTATAAATACCCCAGGGAGAGACAATTGGCTGCAGTAACAGGGATGCCTCAGTTGTCTCTTTCCTCTCTCTCTGGCCATCTCCTTTGACGTGCACTGCTGGTGGTGGGCTAGCCTAGGAGCTAGCAGACTCAGGTAGAATAGTAGGAAATACACAGAATAGTAGGAAAAATACATGCCTTTTTGTCAGGTATGAACTAGATGACTGCACTTGCAACAATGTGTCTGATACTTTGCTAGGCACAAAATTCAGCCTCCCTTTTGAAGACCGCAGCTGTAAACATGGACTGTTTCTGTGGACACAGGTCACAGATTTGCTGCAAATACAGGACAGACTTCCTAATTTCAGAGACAAGAAGCTAACAATCCTGAAAACCTTTATTCTTGATTGACTGTTGCTTCCTGCCATCAGATGCCTGTGGCAGTCGTCCAAGAGTTTCTAACAGAAGTTGTCAAAGGCACTGCTGAAATTCTGCATCCAGAACTTGCTGATCTTTCATGATGAATGACAATGAAGACACAGAGCAATAGATTTCTGCACTTTCTGACTGCATGAGAGAGTTCTTAGCCCAAGCAGAATATAGCTTCAACTTTCCCACACTCCGTTGAAAAAGTAAAAATTAGACTGGTTCCTCTAGGAGTCAAGTTTCATACCCTTATTGATGTGCTGCATTTTTAATGGCCACAGCCTTGGTTGTCTATAGATTTACTCTGTCCTTCCTTAGAAGATACACCAAACCTGGGGGTGGGAGGGTGGGTGGAGAATGCCTCAGGGATATCTAATGTTTTTTCAATACAGAAGTCCCAGGAACCTGGTTTGGGATCCTTTTACTATGTAAAGAGAGGCAATTGCAATTTTGAGTTTTAACAACAGACCCACTTGCAAGAGCAGGCATGTCTCCAGCTGCCTCCCTGCTTCTATGTGAATTTGGTGGTGGTTCTTCCCCAAGCACAGGTAAATAGCAGCAGAATTACCTCATAGGACACCAATCAGACCATCCCGGCCTGTGTCAACACAAACCCAAGGGTGCCTTCCTGAGGTAAAATCCCCAAGGAAAGCAGGACACAAAATAAGGAGCCACAGTCTACCTCGAGGCTTTAGATCATAGGAGTTATGATCTTAAGAGATTACATCCGTACCTTTATCCAAAATTTCTTCAGAAAAAATATTTTAAAAAGAAAAGCATATTAAATTGTAGAAAGTTTTACTGCAATCAGACTGATTCTCTTTTGGGAGCTTATATATACTATGATATTTGCATCATTTAATTTAGCATTGTTTCTCAGAGAAGGAATGTGCTAGATGATGTTTCAGCATAGACTATGTGTACTCTCAAACTATGGAAGTAGAAACTGTGGAAAAAATCTACAAAAGCTGAAGAAAAATAACAGTGAGCACAGCTGGTTAATGTGTAAAGATCACTTCAGCAGCACCATTAAATTATTATCTAGGTACTTTATAGATTTTAAGACTCCCATGGAAGTCCAATTCAGAATTTTAAAAAGTCTCTCTTCCCTGCAGTAATTTTTATATTTCCCTCTAGGGGTGGGTGGTGGGATGGAGACAAGATCCCGAAGATCAATGCCCATGGAAAGCATTGATAATGGTGAGGCCATCAAGTTAAGAGGCCAGGAAAGCAACATTGGAGCCTGCTATATAACAGAATCAAGCCAGGACTTAAGAAGGGGGGAAAAAAATTTCTTTGCTAGATCACACTACTTTGCAAAATTAACCTTCCACAAGTGACCTGCCTGTAACTCAAACTCATCCTGACGCTTTGGACCACACAGCAAAGCACTGCTCCTTCTCCATACAGCACAGCCAAAGCTAACAGAGGATGCCTTGCAGCCTGACAAAACCCATCTAACAGGAAATGATCTGTCCTGCATTTTGTTAATCACACTGGACTTCCTCGCTTTTGAGATCTCCTATGAAACAGTGCTTAGACTCTTTGGAATCAACTCACAACTCACATGTTGAGATAAAAACTTACCCTAGTAAAATAAGGGCTAGATCCATCAAGTTCAAACTGGTCATCTTCAAAAACCAGTAACATGCTCTGAGATATGGAACATACCACTCTGAACCTAGTGCCTACCTAAATAAGGAGGGATTAAAGACTGACACTGATTGCCCGTAGTGCTTCAAAAAAGTAATGGTATCAGTCTGTGGTTCAAGACAGCTCTAGCTCATACAAGATTCAGGTACAGCTTCTACAGTAAACGATCCCCAGTTTCTTCTCAAGACCTGCAAATAAATAAGCCTGAATGGTGCCTGAAAACACCAAATTACGGAATCTCACCTGTCATGCAGCAGAGCATGCAGTGTGGCTAATCATGCGTTCACTTCTTCAGAGTGACCACACTGAGCTGCTTGTCCTTCTCCCCACTGCTCTTCATAACATGGCCCTGGTGACTCCTGGCCATATGAAGACATGGCCAGGAACATGGCTGGTAAAGTCAGGAAGATTAGAGATGGGAGTCCAAACAAGTAGTGCAAGTGAGGTGGATGTGAGAGGAAAAAAAATTCCCCTAAAACATTCAATATCAGGATTTTACCTGAAACTCTGTGTATTTTCTACTGATGTTGACCAATGTAACAACTCATCTGAAAATGCTTATTATTTTCAGGGACTAATACACTGGCTCTTATTTGTAGTTTAATTGTCTACTGATTGGTGGTGGCCTTTTAAATTAAAGAAAAAACCTTAAAAAAACCCAAACAACCAACAACCATCCCCCTAAACAAAAAACCCCCACCTGCCTAGTGTCAGTTCTGTAAGATGCAACTCACAAAGCTTTGCCTGTGTAAAAACAGCCTAGTGAATTGTTTGCACAAGCTGGAATCTTCCATTCTGCCTAAAAAACCCCTTTTTCTGATTCAATTGTTTCTCTCCATCCTTCACCTCAAGTCATATCTGAACTGAAATCTCTCCAGCCTCTCTTCTCAACAGCTGCAAATTAACTGCAGGGATCCCAGCACACTCTGTAACAGGTGGCTCAGCGCCTCACTTCGCAATTGGTGCGCTGCAGGGCAAGGAATGCAGCACTGAATCCTGAGGCCTGAAAATGCTCTCAGATTTACAATCATGTAGGAAGTAATGGGGTGAAACAGAGTATGCCAGATAACTGAGGAAAAGGACACAGAGGAGAAACATAACTGCTCTGAAAATGCTTGCAAGTCTCTGAGATGCAAGACAGCAGGAGGAAGGAGTAACATCACAGAATTTTAGAAGCTTTCAGAAATGTGGCAAAATCATAGCCACTGTGGTACGTTCATTCTGAGAGAGGCACTATTAATGTCAAACTTGTGGCAAGTTGGTCAGTGAATTATGCTTTGGCTATGCTAGATATTTTTTATTAATTTGAAATAAAATGAATTGTAAAGATACCTTAGTTCTAACCGCAAAGCGGGTAGCTTTTGCTTATTACTAGTCAGTAATCCAAATCCATTTGGAGTTCCTATGTAGTATTTCCAGGACCAGGAGCACTGGGGGCTGCAGATACCTTCATATTGCAGAACCAGGACAGATTCAGCAAGCTTGGCCATGTTCCTGGAAGGGGTAAGGAGGCAGTAGTGGGTATGGGGCTTGTGAGAGCGGTATCAGCTGGTGCCTAATCCCACGCACCACCACGCACACACGTGCTGTTCCTGCTGAAGTCTGGTGTTACGCTGAAGGTATTCAGCCTTTGAAACACCATTAAGTGCAGTGCACGGACAGGCACGTGGCCACATGGCATCCATTCTGTGAGGCTGGATATGCCTACACCTCACTCTGCAGTGTAACACGTACTCTCGTTATCCAAGATTCTCAGCTCCTCCGTACCTAATGTCTAAAGAGGACTTGGCTGTCCAATGATACAAAGCGGAGGTGTCTCAACCAAAAAAAAAATCTTTTCAATTTCTACTCAAAGTAGCTTGTCTACATGGAAGTTAAAATCCAGGGCTATGCTGTACATCCAGAACAAGTGGTATTGGGCCATGAAAAGTTTTGTGGCTCACAGCCAAGAAACCAGAAAATAGTTCTCTCTCCCCATCTTCCCATGCTTGGACCCCAAAAGAACCTCAAGTTTAAGACACAAATACAACACACAAGGACTCTTCTCAAACAGTTTAATAGCAAATAAACAAAGGAAGGTACCACACTTGGCATATACAAAATGACTTGTTGTTGGTGTGTCTGTGCAATTAAAACAGCTTTAAGTTGCCCTTTGGGACAAAAAGAAAAAAAAAACACACACACACACAAAAGGAAGAAAAATTCCTTTAACACATACTTGCTTGTTCCAAACTTGTAACAAATCTTTTCATTTTTAAATCCACTACACAAACTCTGTGATCAGATCAGAAAAGCAACATGCGCTCCTCTGCTTTTTAAACCATTAAAGTAAATTCTCTACAGAGTACAACACAATTTCACACAAAAAGACATTTTGTTTTGCAAATCAAAACAAGAAGAAAAGGAACAGCTCAAACAAGGTAAAGAAAAGCATTTCTACGACTGAACCACGACTTCGAGTTGATTAAATCCTGTTACTGCAGAACAGACTCTACATTTGGTCATAGTGGCAATTTGTTTTCTCGTCACATTGTGAATCACTTTACATTGTTTTCTAGTAGAAAAGGCAAAAAACTGTACAAAACCCCTAGTGTTAAATACAATGTTTGTACCAATAAAAAAGCCCACAGGTTTGTCTCCAAAATGTAAATTTTCTTTTTAAATTATTCACAAAAAGCAGCCAAAAATCAGAAAGGCAGCTGCTGCTCCACTGTCTCAAATCCATTAAAACCACCACAGAACAATTAAAACAACCAAAGGAAGGAAAGGAAAGAAGAAAGGAAAGAAACACCCAACATTTGGCATTTTGGTTTTCTTCAGATAATTTTCCACAGGTTTCCCCAAAGTTCCTTATGGAACCAAATGCGCATGTACAGAAATGTATTGATAGTTACTCCATACACTGCAGGGCATCAGTGCCCTCTGGCACACAGCCCTGTGCATTCAGACTGTGGGACTAACAGCAGCCAGCCCACAACCCTACTTCCCAAATAAATAAATCTCTACCCTTTCTTCATCCAGCCTCACATTTCACTCCCAGGTATATGTACCATATCCAAACATGCTCTGTTTTATAAGCAGATTAAGGACTGTCTACACAAGTCTGGTCAACACCTATTGAGAATACAGTATCCTCAGCCAACTCGGGAGTAGGGTAGAAAAAAATCTTTACATCTTTGCATTATCCCAAACACTGGACAAAATTAAGATTTCTATCCAATGAAACTCTATTTGTTTTCTCAGCAAAAACCCTTCTCCTGGGATTTCATTTCACATTATTTCTACTGTTAAGATACCTACACTAGCTTGCTGCTGCTGACTGAAACTTCATCACAGCACACACTCTTCAGGTGCCTTCATCTAGAAGCTACTTCCCAGTTCCTACCTGTGCAGACGGTATGTAGGGCAGGGGGAAGCCTGCTACCCAGAGAGCAGTAACCTGTTCTAGTTCATCCTGCAAGCCAGCAAAACTGCTCAGCTCATTACCCAATTAAAAACTAAACAAAAATTAAAAAATCTCCGCAGAGATTCCCCAGCTAAGGCCCTTGAGAAGAGAGCTGGGGATGGTACCCTGTTCAGGTAACAGCTTCAGAGGCTGTTGTATTGTGCTTGTCACTTGGGAAAAGAGCCAGCAGTTGTAGGATCAGGTTTACAAATGCTTTCTCTGGGATATTTAAAATGCTTTGTTTCACGAGCTAACCTAGATTCTTCCAGAATCCTGCCACCAAGCTCTGACTGATGGTCTTAAACTGGGGATGGACTTCACAGAAATGTGCCCTGACTTGTACAAAATGCTCATAAGTGTTTGAAAGGAGCCTTGACTTCACATAACTTTGGAAACAGAAATATTGTGAAGTTCCCCGACCTTCCTGCTCCCAGCTATGCCCTTCCACCAAAAATTCTACTACGTGAACAGTGCAACCAAGCACCCTCAGAGCCTCTGACTGCACTGGATATGGAACAAGGTCCAGGTGCTCTGTCAGGCAGACAGTCTAAGTGCACAGGTAGATGCCCTCAGGTGGCTTCTGATCAGATATTTGTCATACCAAAACCACCAATTTAAAGGATACCTTTGAAACTCATTAAATTGCTCAGTTTTTGCACAAACTATAGAAAACAGAGAGGTGAAGGTGATATATACGAGGATGTGAAGAAAACAGCAGGAAACATGCAAAACATTTCTGGGCACTATCTTAGTTTGAAAGATTAAAACAAAACCATCACATTTTGCTGAGGAGATTGTAGTTACAAAAAAACCAAGCATGCTGGAGCTTAACAAAATACAACATCAACTTTGATCAAATTTTCACTGCAGACTGATAATCACACAGGGAAGCGGGGGAAAAAATAATAATAATAATAATTAAAAAAAAAATCAGTAAATGCCAGGGCAAAAATGTAGCTACAATCAGAGGAAAATGTAGTTCAAGTGTTTTCTGTTGATGCCTCTTCAAGTCACAAGTTTGAACTCATAAAAACACATGCTGTCTCCTCAAGCACAGAAACCAAATCAGCAAAATGTGACTAGGAAGTCTCCTGAAAGATTAAGTCACACCATATAATTGACTTTTAATTCGAACTGTGTTTTTAAAACTAAGCACACAGAAAAAACTAAGCCTAGAAAGTGATTGGCTGTATGTTCACAGAAATACAAATACTCCACAAGGTATGCTAGCAAGGCTGCTCTGAAGACAATTACAAAGAATCAAATTCACAAAATCAAGTGGTTATCTTACGAAGGTCTAGAAAAATAGAAATTCTTTTATATTCAAATGCAAGTTTAAATATTCCCCTTCAGCAGTCTTTCTAGCAAAACCAATTTGGCAGCACAAAAAAAAAAAAAAGAAAGAAACAAACGTAATAAAAATACACATCAGCATCAAAGGTCAACACAAGGTCAAAGGTGAGAGTTCAAGCATCAGAGAAGCTGAAGAGACAAGGATTTGGACGATGTACTTGAACGCCACATCGACATGCTTTAGGCACAACGATGAACAAACGGCAGGAATCTAGAAAAAAAAACAAACCAGAAAGAGGGAGACCCACTGAGTTACACAGAGCAGTACATCCAAACACAGAGAGAGAGAACAAGAATGGGCACTGTACAATGAGATCTCCTGGGGAAGGGAGTTGACAGGGGAGGGCAGCACATGCCAACGATGGACAAGTAAAAGTCAAAGTACATGAAGGACACCAAGTAAACATCAAACTGCCAGAAACCAAATGGAAGCAGAGGCCTGGATTTCCCTCTCAGCACCCAGTCTGTGGAGCATTCCACAGCCTAGTGACACATCGATTAGCATGCATTCACCTTACCCCGTGCCCAGTGTCTCCACTACCTCTGTTTAGGAGAAGAACAGAGCAGGCTCCCTCCCCAGGAGACAAATTCAAAAAAATATGACTCCAGGGCTAACATTTGGCCACAGAGACTGAGACCATGACAGACAAGACAGAGGACACAAGGGATTCACAGGTGGTTTGACGGTTGAGACTTTTCCTTGCACTCTAACATGTGAAGTTCTTAGGCAGTAGTAGCCCAGCAAATCCTTCAGCTACAGTCCCTTCTCATTCCCTAGGAGCCCACGAAACTGGGGGTGGGTGATTTGGAAAAGGGGGAAAAAAAAAGATTATACAAGACAAAAAGCCCACACATAGGAGAAGAATTCCTTAAGACTTGACTGCAAGTTAAGACTTGTCCTAGCTGCGCACTTTTCATACCATTAGACCTGCACAGGGATTTTCTGTTCCCAACCTTTTATGTAACAGCCCCCAGCTCCCTGAATTCATGAGGAGGGGATTCTGAGCTCTGAGAAGCTCTACAGTCACTGTTGCCAGTTTGATGAGCAGAAAAACTGTGTTTCCTGAAGTTTTCTTGAAGAGTTTATAAAAAAGTAATTTTTATATTAAGTGATATAAATACCTCTGTTCCCTCCCCTCAGCTTGTGATCTGCAAGTGACAAGGAACATTTTGGGTTGAGAGTGGGAGGTAGAAGAGAGAGGAAGTGATTTGTTTTCTTTTTCTGCCTCCCCAATTCCCCTTTAGCTCCTGTTTGTGGCTTAGTCTTCAGCACATCTCAAAGCTGCTGGTTAGAGACTAGAACAAGGTGAGATTTGCATATTATCTTACGGCATTTATAGCATATTTGAGAGTAACAAGTGTTGTTTCTAGTTCCGAAGCAACAAGAAGCACATTGTCAACTAAACCGGCAACACTCCTCTTATTAGTACTGCTGAGATTAATTTGCTCTTCATGCTTTCCAATAAAAGGAAAGGACTTAGTATAGAGTTTAAACCAACTCCAGCAAACAGAGTACAATGCAACTCTTGCAGTTTTTTCTGTATCTCTAGAAATACTCTAGATAGTTTGCAGATAGGTGTAAGGTTTCACTACTAAACTAGAAAGGCAAATTCATCATGAACTGAGGCATGAGAAACAAGAAGCAGCATGAAATCAAGTGACATCTATGCATGTACCATCAAAATGCTCTGTGTGATTTGTTTGTTTTACAGAGATTTTTCAAATATTTCACTTAGCAATGCTGAGGAGAAAGAATAAGTTTCATCAAAGTCCTGCGGAAAGACTGGCCTACAAGAACAGAACCATGAGATGCTGGAGAAGAACTTAAAGACTCGGAGAAAGTTATTCCAGTTTGTCCTTTTTTAATTTTCACAACAGTGATAAATCTACCTTCCGTGTTTCATATTTTGTGCTAGGTATGTTCAGGGATATAAAACATCCTCAGGTTTAAATGCCCACAACAAGAGGCTTTCAAAGCATCTTACATGTTCATAGTTGCACCCTTCATTTGAAATTTGCTTTATGCAAGTTGTATTTAGACACTTACAAATGAAACAGGAACAACTTCATTCTGTTTGGCTGTTTTTCCCTAACTCACAATCATTAACAAGAAGAAACAGTTCAGTTAGATCCAGCTTGCATGATAAAATTATCACACTATGTGACTTTCAGTATTCAGCAGAAAAGCTTTTTCTTGATACATGTATTTGCCAGTGAAAATTTTTCTGAGGTGCCTATTTTCCAGATAGCAATGTCCACAGCTAGGAAACTACCTCACCAACAAAATATAAACAGCTATTCCCCATTTTTGACTCAGAGATTTTTGAAAAATTCCAATCCTCATTCTGCTTAGGATTAAATTTTAGTTACTATATATCAAAGGAACTTTTTAATAATGCAAGCTTTGCACTAATGGAAGAAAAAACTAAATTACAAAGAGCTATCCTATTTTGGACTGTTGATTATCTAGGGGACTGAAAAAAATACGATTTCAGTTACTAAAATACTGACATTAAGTAGTATCAGACTAAGTTCATAATACTTTCACCTTATTACAGCAGTAAAATCAAATATCTCCTGAGAAAAAATAAATCTATGAAGTAGATAATCCCACCTTGTAACTTAAAATATGTTAAATATTTCCTGGTGGCACGCATAATAAGGAATTGTATTTAATCTGAAGTCCTACTTTTTGTTGTGGAAAATGCAGATTCTTTGGTTTTGATCATACAGCATACTTTGTCTATGTGGCTACTTCAGGCAACCTTCTGCAGTTTATTTGAACCCAACCAATTTTTATCTTGCTATCCAGGAAATAAAGTATTTGACACTGATTTGATTTGCACTTGAATGAGAGCATGATAAGAATTAAGAATAAAATAAAATATGTAAATCCCAAGTACCCAAAATCCCAGACTTTCCTGCCAATGAGTGAGGAAGAAAACTGGCTTAAGACTGAAAAGCAAGAGCAGCCTAAATCTCCATAATCAGTGGCAGCCATCAAACAGACATAGAAAGTTGATTTTATCTGATCAGTTCTGTTATCAGAAAAAAAAATCTGCCCAAGTCACAAACTTGATACATTTATTAACTTTGGCAACATACACATTGATACACCAAGAAAAGGAAATCTGAAACAAATACACAAAAAAGGGCAACATCTTCAGCTGGTGAAAACTGATGCAGCTCTCTACTGAAGAGAGCTGAACTGCATTGAGTCAAACCATCTGAGGATCACATCTTTTAAAATTTAACCTGCATAGATTTATTTTCCTTTTCTTTTTGGCAATACTTATAGTTATGCCAGTAAGGCACAAGAGCTAGCCCAAGTTAGGTGACTTAAGGTGATTATGTCTGGGAGGAGTCACTGATCAAACTAAGCCACGGTGTAAACTGGTGAATCTCCTGAAGTCAACAGGGGTCACACCTATTTGCAACAATGCCAAGCTTGATCCGTCAACAGTACTGAGGACACACTATAGGATGAAGAAGCTAAAATATCTAATTATGGGCAACTGAAATGACTAGTAAAGAGGCCAGAGCATCAGGTTAAAAGAAAAACAGGACAAAGGTCTTTGACAGTACAGTGGGGTAGGGTACAAAGAAGGTAAGAGTGACTGTAGAGACCCCAGAGCACAGTGCTCTCCTCCACTGGTTCACAGCATTCATCTTCCTTGTTTAGCAGTTGTTGGGCTGCAAACAGGCCACTGAAAATCAGTAGTTTCAATCATGCACATCATTATGTGTGTTAAACAATCACATTCAGGATTCTACAAAACCCTGGCCTTTTTTTCCAGTGAAATAATTTAGGTAATAAATATTCTCCACCCTGGAGCGGTATAAAACTTCTATAAAAATAGAAACAACATTCTTGGTTACAGCAGGTTGCACTTGGAGCAGTTGCTCCCAACTATGTTTTTTTTTTCCTGTTTTTTTTTTTTTCTTTTTCTGAAAAGTATATTATTTATATATATATAAAAAAATCCCATTATCACCCTGGAGGCCTTCACACTCCAACACTCTTTTTTCAGAAAACCAGGACACATCTTTCCCATGGTGCAGAATTCAAGTGTACATGGTTCACTTCAGTGTATGTTTACGTTTCTAGAGAGATTCAAATAATTAACATAGAAGGGTACCACATGCCAGCATAACTGGGAAATTTGGCAATCTGGCCTTTGAAATTTAGCCACCACAAAATTATTTGAATAATACTGACAGATGTATCTGTCTGCCATCAATATGGACAGACTGACATTAACTGTTTGATTTTCAATCTAAGAGCTGAAAAGGGCTCCCCCTTGGATGTTACAGGTCAGGCCTTGTTTTCTGAGGTTTGAGATCACAGGGGGCCCAGTTCCTGGAAATGCCTGACATTCCCAACAGAACACTGCACACAAGTGGGGATTCTGACTGTGATCTCAGTTTTGATGGGTTTACTGCTCCTCCTGGTGGAGCAGAACACAAAGTTCTGACCCCACCTCTGACCCAGGCACTCATCATCTAGCAGCTGGCTTCCAGATTGCAGTGTTAGCTGGTGCCCTGGGAAACAGCCTCACAAATCAGGAATACAAAGAAAACAAGGAAAAGAAGAAAATATGAGGTAAATCGAACCTCTGTTATAGACACACAGAAATTGTAAACTTCCTCTTGTGACAGAGGTGGATTTTGATGGTTATGAAATGGAATTCTACATGGATTTCTTACAATAGCTCAGGCCAGAGTGTCAAAAGTCCTTTGAGCCCCCTAAAACCAGTGAATAACAAAAGGCCCTTAGCAAGGCACTAGCAATTTCACTAATATGCAGAAAAAATGTGTGTGCACTTAAGGGGTGTGTTCAATTTTCCCTCAATAGAGAAGATAACAGCTAGTACCAAAAGGCAGAAAAAGATTGAATGAATGGCTCAATACTCTGGTTCCACAGCTCCTGGGTTAGCCTGTTCTGCACTGGTACACACCACCTTAAAGGAAAACTGCAGTATAAAAAAACACCTAATTACTAGACCATGTCACTGCACAAATTGTTTTGTTTGTTAAAAAAACCAACAAACAACAAAAAACCCCTCAACAAAAGAGGAAGTTATCATTTCAATAAACAATCAGCACTTACATTATGCTTATGAGAAGGAATTCATAGCTATCATAGCAAAAAAGGACATTATTCCACAGAAATGGGGAATGGGATCAACTGTTAACAAGAAAAATTGTCAAAAAATGTCTGCAGGTTACCAGGGATCAAAAGTTTGTTTCCAGCCTCAGATGTATTCATCCAGACTAAGTTGTCTCTACCTTCCCACAAAACCTAGATAAAGTACATAGGAGACGTTTTCTTATATATGGAGAAATTCACTGCATCTCATTAATATTCCACTGTAAAGGGACAGTGAAATTTTCTGGGCAGAGACATTATCTAACAATCTTATAAAGTGCTGTGTACATTCACAGTGCTATATAAACACTACTTTATATACGGCAGAAAAAAAAACAAAAACACTGCAGTTTTCCTTTGGCTTGTTAATATGTTCACTCTTTTAGCCTGTCTCCTGCTTTAGAGATGATTTACTAAATCCTCACCATGGCATACAGTTAAGGAAATTTCCATGAGCAGATGGGGCATGACAAAGACTACATGGAGTCGGTTCTTCTTCACCCAAGACTGTTCTCCTTCCCTGTCTTTGTTTTCATCAGCTGTTCTGTGTTATTTCTGCTTTCCCTTCTCCTCTCTACCCAAGGCAGTGTGGTGTCAGTTTCTGCTGCTCCCTTTAACCTTCTCTCCCCATCCACAAGGAGCTGGCATTGGTCCTTCTCAACACACACTGGTTACAAACACAGCAAACTTCAAATAAGGGAGAAAAAAAAAACAAAACTAAACAAAAAAACCTCAGCGATATGGCACCTAAACTCCAAAGTAAAACACTGGAAACAAAAGCACAAACTTGTCCTCCATCCGAAGCGGGATTCTCAGCAGAGGCTGCAGCAGAGTCTTCAAGGGAAGATGTGCCAGATAGAAGGCATGGATCAGCTTCCAGGACTGTAAAAACACAGCCTTAGGGCTTCGAATCACTTAAGTGCGCTCCTCTCCAACTTACCAGAAGATCCTTCTCACTCCAGTCCCGGAGGGGAGGGTGCTCAGTATGGCTTGCTGTCATTCTTAGAGCGCTTGAGCTGTACTTTCAGACGCTTCATGCCAATCTGAAAGCCGTTCATTGACTGAATGGCAGCCTGTGCAGAGACAGGATTGTCGTAACTTACAAAACCTGAAGAAAGGAAAAGACATAATAAACATGACAAAGCTGCCCAAAACAGCTACTCACAATTGGAAATGCAGGCACTCACAACGTCACAGAAGCTGGCATGAAATACCACCTTTGGAAGCTCACAAGTGTTTTAGACTCTTCATAATAACTCCTTACTAAGGGCTCTCAAACAAATCATTGCTTTCTGACATATGGAACTTTGGCCAAAAGATACACAAAGCTCAGGAAATTAAAATAACATTTCCTAGTCTATCGACAAAAATGAGTACTGCTGTTTGTTTTATAAGAACTCACACCTGGGAGAAAACCAAATGTGAAAAATGTTAATCTATATACAAAAGTTCATTAAAGATACAAGACTGAAATCACCCTCGTGACACTACAGGAACACATTTTTTTGAAGTGAAGTAGCTGTCTAGGGAGTGTAGCACTTGTACCACTATTATATTTAGGTTTCTCTTGGATGACAAGTTATATATCATTCCTGGAAAAGATCATCCTCAAAACAAACTTATCTAGGATTTTGAAGGAGCCTATTTTAAATAAGCTGGGAATAATAACCCACTCCAGTCAATGGCTACCTATCCATAATATGCATGTGTTACAGCTTAATGATCAGCATATTGTTGTGTTCTCACAAAGCATCAGATTGTCCACACCGCTTGCCTCAAATACAAAAAAATTCAGGATATTATGTAGACACAAAGCTATCAAAACCATAGAGAAAGGCTCACTTCTCCTATTCCATCAGAAGGAACCTCCATCTATCAAAAGAGTCACAAGAGCTTATAGCACTACAAGAATGCAATATGGTGGCCACAATAATTATATATATATTAATATAAATAATTCATAATTATAATGTACTAAGTAGTATATACAGCAACACAAACAACTGTTGAAAAGACAAAGAGGGAAGAGAAGGAACTATACCATGATTAAACTCTGCAAACACAAACCATAATCATAGAATATTCTGAGTTGGAAGGGATCCACAAGAATCACTGAGTTCAACTCTTAAGTCAATGGCCCATATGGAGTTTGAATCCATGACCCTAGTGTTATCAGCACCATGGTCTAACCCACTGAGCTAATCTCAGGGTGAATTATCTAGGGCCAGAAGAGTATAACGAGGCATAATAGTATGAAATTGGGAAAAGTAAAAAGTCACAATGAAAATCAGGAAAATACAGTTTATTGCTGAAAGCGTTTGGTTTACTTATTTTTCAGGAAGATAGAGAAAGACTCCCTACTTGACCTAAAAGCTAGACTAGACAATATACTCAAAGAGATTATAAAAAAGAAGCTACTTTTCTACAGATAATGATTTATAAAATATCCTGAATCGCAGAGGATCCACAAGGATCACTGAAGTCCCTTCACACAGCCCCAAGAATCACGCTATGTGTCTTAGGGCATTGTTCAAACACTTCTTGAACTCTGTCAGGCTTGGTGCTGTGGCCACTTTCCCAGGGAGCCTGTTCCACCCTCTGGATGAAGCTCAACCACCCTCTGGATGAAGAACCTTTTCCTACTATCCAACCGGGTCCAGAGAAGAGCAACGAGGCTGGTGAAGGGACTTGAGCACAAGTCCTATGAGGAGACGCTGAGGGAGCTGGGGTTGTTTAGTCTGGAGAAGAGAAGGCTTAGAGGCGACCTCATCACTCTCTTCAACTACCTGAAGGGAGGTTATAGCCAGGCGGGGGTTGGTCTCTTCTCCCGGGCAACCAACAATAGGACAAGGGGACATGGGCTCAAGCTCTGCCAGGGGAGGTTTAGGTTAGATGTTAGGAAGAAATTCTTTACAGAGAGGGTTATCAGGCATTGGAACGGCCTACCCAGAGAGGTGGTGGATTCACCATCCCTGGAGGTTTTTAAAAAGAGATTGGACGTGGCCCTTAGTGCCATGATATAGTAATTGGAGCTGGATCAGGGGTTGGACTTGATGATCTTGGAGGTCTTTTCCAACCCAACCTATTCTATGATTCTAAACCTCCCTGACACATCTTCATGCTATTCCCTTGGATCCTTATCATGAGTCCTCAGAGAGAACAGAAGAGTGCCTGCCTCTCCACTTCCCCTTGTGAGGAAGCTGTACCAACGTACCAAAACACTTGCTTAGATTGGTCTGCTTGTCAATGAACACCTTGGCAGAGACGACATTTCCAAATGGCATGAACATCTGCAGCAGATCCTGATCCCCAAACTCCTGGGGAAGATGGTAGATAAACAGATTGGCTCCCTCTGGACCTTCAAACGACAAGTAGGAATATAAATTCAGAAAGAGCATGGATAACATATGCCCACTGCACAAAAAAAAAAGGTGAAAGAGCCACTAAAGCCAAATTTTCTGGATAAAACAATCAAATTGCTGTTCACATTTCTGCAGAGAACTTGATTCCAGAATAAATTAGCATGACTCTTTGTGGGGATTGATAATTCAAAAAATTCTAGCTCTTTCTCACCATTTTTGCTTGAAATTTACACATTGTGCAAAACACAGATCTTTGCTCAAACAATAAGTTTGACTCCCAGATGTTGACTAAAACAAAAATGGCTATGCAAAGCTTGTGGTCCCAAAACAACTAAGTGAATGTCAATACAAAATACAAATCATTGTACTGCTTTATATCTGACAGATTCTTTTCTAAACATCCTACATATTCTGCTGAAAACTTACTCCTACATTCTTCATTACTTCACACTAAATATTAAATTGAACCTGAATCTGAAGAGTGAAGAGACTGGCATAAGTATCTATGGGAAGAGGTGAAGGACCAAGAAAATGACATTAACAAAACCACATTTGATTCTCTGACAGTGGGATGTATCACGCTGTACACTTATACCCTTCTTTCCCCCAAGAAAATGGAGGAGTATGATTGCAAAGTGTTTAAGACTAGACAAACCCTGTGAGAAACCTCCTGTACAAAAACTACTTTGGGCAGCCCTTTACAGAAAGATTGTGCAGGTTTTCCTTCTTTACCTTTAGTAACTCCAAGATTCTAAAAAAATGCCACCAAATGAAAGATCTGCAGATAAGGTAGTTGCAAGGGCTAACCTTGCCCTGTTGACAACCCCTCTCAAGTTGTTTTTACAGCTTTCTGCCTACCTTCTTTTTGACTTCCCGCTGCACCAATACTCTGCTGTGTTAAGAGACTCTGGTTATAGAGTGTGGGCAGTGCAGCAGCAGCATATTGCTGGATTCCAGAATAAGCCTGTGTGAGGGCTTCCATTGTGCTACCTGTCCCATTTGAAAGACCACCACTGCCAAGTCCTCCATTTAAGGCTGCCATTCCTGGATTAAGAAAGAGGAAATAAAAGATGACTGAGTGCTTCCACTGAGCCAGATTGATAACCTTTCAAATACTCTGCAGTATTACAAAAAGCAGGGAGTAGAAAAAATAACCCCATAGAACCAGCACAGGCTGAGGAATGTTAATCAGCTACTCCCCCAACCCACCACAACACATAACTTACCTGCTAAAGAGCTAACGTTGAGGCCTGCTGTAGCCCCTGCCAGCGTCTGCAATGCTCCAAGAGAGGCCATTGGATTAACAGAGGAGCTGCTACTGGAGCTAGGTGAGGAACCTGCTATTAAAATAAAATAATTAAACTTCAAGCAATATTTTTTGGTCCTGATAATTCAACTTCTCTGTTAAGTTATTTCTGTAAAAAAGGCCAGTAAGGAACAGATGAAGGCAACATAGTATACTTTATGTAAAAAAAAAAAAACAAAAAAACCATTTGACAGATGAGAACACTATTTTAAAAAAACCCCCAAACTCATCCACAATAAAATGGTAGCAGTTAAGGCAAAAAGTTAGAGAGCAAAGTAAAAGGGAGAATGGATGCCTTCCCTACTTTAAAGGGTTGTGATTTTAAATAAATTCAGTCAAACCACTATAAAAAGCTGGACACACAGTTAATTTAGTTTAGTTGCCTTTATCTGAAATTTCTTTAGACAAAACAAGAAATGCTTTAGTACTGAAAATACCAAGAAAATTGAAGACTTTTGTTTATTTTTACCTTTAGTATAGTAATTCCTATATATATAAAATAAGTCAGCACCCCTTTCCTGATAATGACTAAAGGGAGATAAATAACAGTAGAGCAGAAATACAGGGCAATTACAAAGGAATGCTCCCTATGTATAGTCTATAGACCAATGCAGCCATTTGTGAATCTAGGATCTTTTCAGCCAAAGGCAATGTCTTTGTAATAAATTTTCATTCATTAATTTCACTGCATTTTGAACACTGAATTGTTGGACTCTAGCATGTTCTAAGGCATGACTTTTGCAATTTAATTATGCGCTATGCAAAGAAATATCTTTTTTTATTTTTGAACTGTCAGCTGACAACTTGGCCTGATATCCTGCAATTCTTTTATTGAAATATCTAAGGACTGTTCTTTCCCTGTTCACCTTCATCATAACACTAATATATTTGTAGGCTTTAATCATATCCTTCTCCCATATCAGTCTTCCATTTTTCAGGTTGTCGCTCCTAAGAGGGAAGGAGTTCCACATTTCTAGTCATCATTTCTGTTCTTTATGTTTTTTTATGTTATATTTTAGATCAGAAAACAGCACACAGCAACAGGCATGAAAAGCCAGTATCGCTTTGTACCTGTTCTTTATTCCATCCCTAATTCTTAACATTGTTTCTGTGCAGTTTTTGGTGGGTGGTTGGAGATTTTTTCTTGCTATTAGGGTTACGTTTTCTTAGATCTATCTACTGAGTTCTATCTAGTCAAAAAGGCTAACTCTAAGAGAACCAGGTGGAAAGTACTTGAGAAGGTTTGAATATGTAAAAAAGAAAATTGGAATATGTAATAAAGAACAGCTAGGAAAGATAGTGAAACTTGGACATCAAGTAACAACTTGTGGAGGTTGGTAAACTTGAGGAAACAGTAAGTCTGTCCTAATTCAGTCATCTGAATCCAGGCAACGAGCTGAAGAGAACTTAAATTCAGGCAATGAATCTGACTGAACTGTACCAGAATTAGTTCCAGTAAAAATAGAAATACTATGATATCTCTCAAAACAATTTTGCCAGAGACACACTAAGGCCATCAAAATCATCTAGGCTTTGCTGGACCTTTGATGGTTGCCTTTAGAAGGAGGAGAAATGGAAACATACCTCAGCATTTGCAACCGTTCTATTTTGCTCTGGGGCAGACAATTCTTATTGGTGTCAGAGACAAACAGATGGCAGACAAGACATTCCAATCCTGAGATATTTCTATAATATTTTCTGGAACGTCCCTTTCACAAGTTAGCAGTTTAAATGAGTCTATCTAAGGCCATGGCCTCTGCAACATCGGTTACCTATAGGTGGGTACAGCAGTAGACTGTTCAGTTCCAAAGAGCAGCTCATCTTCAGCAAGGTTGAAGGTTTTGCTTTATCTTAGTCCACATCAAAATACACAATACTGCTTGGAACTACCTAAAAATATTGTCTGAAATGGGTAGGAAGACAGCATGGAAAAAATACTTAACACCACTGAGTTCAACCATTCTGACATTCAGCCTATTCATAGTCCACAGACTGCACTGTGTGGACTTCTACATTCCCCAGACACAAATGATATCGGTGCAGATGAAAGAAAGTAAAAAAAGATAACTATGCATAAGGACTGCCTGGATTTTTCCACCAATTATGCAATTTGAGGAGAAATGTCCAAATAAGCATCAGGTGAACACTTGGATGACAGATGGAGAGAAGTCAAGGAGGTAGCCACCTCATCTGCACTTAGGTTTAAGAGGTTATCACAGTAGATGTTGCCATATGTTCCACAGACAAGGCAGGCATTTACATAGTACTGAACTGCTATATACTGAGTTTTTTCAAGGTCTGGGTGTGGTTCAGGAGGGATAGATGCTTTCTGTGTGGATTCAAACAGACATCTATGTGAATACATACAGAACGAATGTGCATATAAATATTAATCAAGAGAATTTCAAGTTTGCTTTTGTAAGACATAACAGTACCTCAGACTAAAGAGTTAAAAAAAGCTGTATAATCATAGGAAATATCATGAGATTGAATGTGTCTGTACACATTGAGGCTTCCCCTAAGCCCAATTTCAGTTTTAAAATGTGAAGCATATTCATACCTTTAATGAAAAGCACTGAAACTGTTTTAGAGTTTGATGTCAGTGACTACTTGTAGACCGCATATCCTTCAAAATTTTCTTTTGAACAAAAGTCATCTCTACTCTTTAAAATTATACTTGAAATTAAGTTTAAAGAGCAACACAATACTGCCAGCTTCATGTTATAAGCCTGTGAAGAGTGAACTGATACATCTGTATTGAATATTAATTCAAATGTCCCATCATGATAACTTAATTGTTGACACACAATCATTTATTGATATGACCAGCAATCAGAAGGTTATTTGGATTGAGCACAGAAAGTACTTAAAAATGAGCTGCTCCCTACTCCCCAGCCCCTCCACCAGCATGATCAAAAATGGAACAGAGTCCTGAAATATGTCTTTCATCAAGGGAAAAAGAACTTCCAGAGTTCTGTGAAACAGCCAAAATTCACAGAGGGGAAACAAATTCCAAAGAATCACACAATAACAGCATAACTTCAGTTGAAAGGGACCTCTGTGGATCATCCAGTCTAACAGTTTGTTCAGAGCTGGTCTAACCTCTGAGTTTGTTCAGGGTTTGTTCAGGGTCCTTTCCAACAGCATTCTCAGTCTCTGAAATGATGGAGATTCCACAGCCCCTCTGGTACCTGGTTCCTGAGCTTAATCACTCTTGCCATTGATTTTCTTTTTCTGTTTAGTCAGAATTTTCTCTGTTGCAACTTGTGTCCACTGCCCTTGTCCTTTCACTGCACGCTTCTGAAGAGTCTGTCTCTGCCTTTTCTAGCACATCTGACATCTGAACTTCACAACCTGCCAGTCCCTTCCTCCACCTCAACAAAACAGAGAACAAACTTCCTCCAGTCATTGGACAAGACAGTCAATGAGGAAACCTTAGTTCTAAATGCCACTCACAGGAAATTGTAACCTGACAATTTCAGCTCTGCTACTGCATGAAGAAATATAGGAGAAATTGTCAAATATATTCACCTTTGTATTCCCTTAATGATGAAGCAGCATTATTGGGTATAAATGCAGCTCTTCTGTAGCCTCAACTTGTAATTTTTTTGTTGGTTTTTGTTTGTTTGTTTTTCAATTATGGAATAAAATACATAGCTGGGAGTAAAGATAAATTTTAAAATTTTAATCTTTTAAGGATGCAGACCACAAAGTTTTTATGTAAAAAATGTCCAGCAACAGAATACTCTTTGAACTACACTCTTTCTTGGGAATTTCTTAAAGTAGAAAACTGTGTAAAGCACCCATAATTTAACTTCCAATCATGTGATGAAGTTTCTAAACAGCTTTTCCTTGTAATCTCTTAACCTCTCGGTCCAGTTCCTTGGTCCTTCTACACAATTCAAAAAGCTACCTGTGGAAATTTAAAATCCCCTCCAACTCCCTTTAGTCTCTCACATTCACAGGTGAGGATGTCAACTCTGTAGGCTGGATGCCACAGATATTGTAAAACTGACACCCTGAATATACAGGGTCTCCCTTCCCATGTCAGGATTTAGTAGTAACTCAAAATAGGATAGAAATAATTGAGTAGAATACTGATCCTCATTTGTGGTAAAAACTGAGCATGTCTTCTGTAAGCATAACAGAATTTGTTTGGTTTTTTTGCTTGTTGCTTTTAATGAGCACATTTGACAGTAAGGTAGCAAAAGAATACTACTCAGACATTTTAGCGTCCCTGGTTAATATACATAGCCTAAAGTTAAAAAACCTGAACAAAACACACAAAAGCCATATAAGAGGAAGATTTTTATGTGCAACTTGTACACTAAGTTCTAGACAACTGCTTTCCAGTACATATGCTAGGTTTCTGTTTTCCTGCTTCTATGAGGAAGTTACAGTATCCTTTTCTCATCTATGGAATATAAACAGTACTGTCCTAGTGCATAGAATGCATTACTTCATGCTTAAGGCATTTTCTGTTTCCATGTTGAGAGGAACAGGGCACATCTGCCACAGTGCCTGCCTAAAACCACAGATAAATCAAGTATGTGATGAGATTGTAAAAACATGACTGGAAGGAGGTCACCTACCTTTCTGCTTCATTATGACCTCAAAAATTCTTTTTACTCTAAATTAATCTGACCATCTGGAGGAAGGAACACAGCAGGTAAAAAAGCCTTTGCTGGTGGCAAAGGTATCTATCCTAAGCAAAGGCCAGTGAATCTACTAGTAAAACTGTTTATGTATTAAGGAATCAGCATGAAAATGACAAAAAGCGATAGACAAAACAGACGATATCTATCCTGAAAGGACTCCTAAGGCAACTCATGTCATAACGCACTGCAGCATAGGCAGTCTCTTACCTGAGCTGGTGAGCACACTCAGGGGACTGCTGGAGGAAGTGAGTGCAGCGGTACCACTCGGTGTGTTCTGAGCTGCACTGGCTGCAGCTGCTAACGCAGCCAGGTTCTGTAATTGCATCGCATTCAGTCCTGCAACACATTGAAGAATGCAGAGTTTCTCCTATAATAGTCACCACTAACCAAGGGTAACAGATCCAGCAAACTCAGCACATCACAAGAGAGTAACAGAAAGGAGCTTAAAAGCAACAGGCTTAATACTAGTTACTGATCTTTTCTGTATCACGATTCCTTGCTATAATTAAAAAAGAAGTTTTTCTTTGCCCAGATAGATGTGATTTAGTAGGTGAAAAGGCCAGGTAATTCATTATCCCAGATGTAGACTCCAGAGTACAGAAATTTTTAAGCAGTGTTCTCTCCAGTCACAAAAGCACAGCAGCTTTAAATGAGAGTTAAGTCAGGATCTGACAGCTCATGTGCAAGCTGGAGAACTTGCCTAGACACCAGGCCAATACCTTCCTCCACTTTCATGTCCCGCCACTCCCTTGGAATGGGAACAGCAGTAACTGCAAAATTATTTCAAGCAGGCCTCACACCACATTGGCCACAGTCACAGCTTTAACCCACCATCAGCATGTTTTCTTTGGTCCCCCTGGCAGTCAAGAAACAACAGTCAGTTGTGAGACAACTGTTAGGTGGCAACTCTTGACCACAAGATCAACCAATGTCTGTGCAGGCCAGTTAGCTGGTAAAACAGTGGCAAGGAAAACGGGAAACATCACGTTGTAGGTAGGCAGCAAGGAATATGTAGGGGCAAGAAGGTACCTCTGTGCTTACGAACTTTTACTAGTCAGTTTACTCATTTGACTCACCTTCATCTTGAATCATCATTTTTGAATGAAACCATTTGGTCAGTACTGGCACCACATTTTGCCCTCTTTTCCTGCTGTGGGATTATCACTGAAATGGATCTCTTCCTGAATTCTGTATTTTAGCCATCCTTTGGTAGACTAGCTTCATTCTTCCAATACTGCCTCTCTTCCCTTTTCCCTTATTTTCCATATTTTGTCTCTATCTTTGCTTCTTTTAACAATTCCAAATACTCCCTAGTATTTCTTCCCAACATAATTAAACCCAAAATTAAATTAATCACTTTTCATTTAACAACATCAAAACATCGTAAGTAGAGGTGGCTCTCATCTTTTGGACACAGTAAGAACTTAGTGGCAAAACACACATCTCAAATAACTAAAAGCTCTGTTTTGTAATTTAAGCATGTAAGCAGACAACAAAAATGTAAGTGACAATGCAGTATAAACTAATTATTTTCTATAATACTTCTACTACCTTTAGTATAATTTGTTTGGTTTTTTAACTCTTTTGCAGTTGTTTTCTCTTTGTGACAGGGACTGTTTCCCTAGCCAAGTTCAGTTCCCAAAACAAGGGGATTCTGCCTTTATTTAGATTCAAGGTGCCATTGTAACATAAAAACACAAAATAAAAAAAGTTTTATTTTTTGCTTTTATTGTGCTACTGAGGGTTAATAGTGCAAGTGCTGGAGCTCGTGAAGAACAGAGCAGCTTGCTTCCTTAACTGAAACAGTTTGTCACATTGTGCACTGCATCTGCCCTCTTGTCATCACACTGTTTTCCCATCTGCTTTCAAACAGGGTCGAGATTAAATTTTGTCTACAAAGTCTAATATAGTTTGGGATCTAATTACCTACTTAATTTCTCTTTCTATGAATTTCAAGAAAGGAGCTGAGATACTAAAAGGACTTTGAAACTACAACTTTTTCTGTAAAGAATCACAGACTTGGAATAATTATTTTAAAACACCCTGCAACATGCTATTTATATATATGATTTCTCAATTTTTAAGTTGTTTTTTTTTTTTTAAATAGTGAAGATAGAATTACCCTGGAAATTTCAGGGAAAATCTCAGGTAGTTAGCCCCTTCCACCCGCCCCAGTCCTTACTGCCATACTTTCTCCTTTATCACAAAACTTGCTTTCAAACAGACACAAGAGGGGAGAAAAAGAGTATCACATGCATAACAAAATCCATTATAGATCACCACCCTACAGGATATTAGTGAAACTGATTTTAAAAAAAAATTGCTTTTTTGCAAGAATCTTAGATGTAAGAGCTCTGAAGAGGTCTAACATGAAAAAAGTCAATATAGGAACCTGACATTAGAATCAACTTCAAGTATAAAATCGGAGTTCTTACAATTGAAAACATAACACTTTGCAAAAGCTTGTAATTGTTACTGACGAGTGCACCAACCAACACGAATCAGATGTACAAAGACACTTATAGATCAAACTCTGCATAGACAGGGCATGTGATACTGGGAACGATTCTAAAACTCCAGGAGGCAATTTTAAAAGCTTGAAGTGCTCAGTATTAAAACCAAAACTATAGATTTTTTTTCCAACAGAAGAATTTAGAGAATGTGGTGAATGGAGTTACTAATGTATTTTATTACTCCCAACCCTGTGAAGACAGAAGGGACAATCAACTTACAGCCCCAGTACTGCTATACTTAGTGAATATTCTGAGTAGCAGTCTCCAGCAAGGAATTTCGCTCATACCTATTAAGCTGGTATTTCCCTAACAGCAATGGTAATTATAATTAATAATTAATTATAATTCAAATGAACGAATGAAAAAACCTGAATAAAGGACTAGCTCACATTCCTAACAACACTGTGTTGTCAACTTAAATGTTTTGTTCTTAAATGCATCGAAAATGGGAAAACTAAGAATCCATTATCACTGAAACATGTGCACTAATGCCTATTTCAAAACGCAGTTCTTCACACATGCACCTGTTTGGATGAAAATATAGAGAGCACTCTTTGTGGAAGACAATTTTAAGTGCCAGAGATTGGAAGGATAACACCACTTACCTTGGGGACAATACTTAACTAAGATAAAGAAGGAACATCCACACTTGTAGCAGAGGATTCCATTCATTCTGAAGCAGTGGATAAACTCAGGACTAGTTATGTCAAATTACATTAATGTATCTACAGCCTTTTGGCTACTTTCTCTACCCTCATCCTCTTTTGTTTGGTACTTAATTTGTCTTCTGACAGAAAAAACTTACCTCCCATTGGGTGGAGGCTGCTCAATGTGTTCAGGTTCCCAGATGAAGCAGCTGCTGTCTGCTGAAGGAGCTGCAAATAAAGCTAGACATTACACCAAAAAACAAAACAAGAGTGAGAGTGAGGGCTGGCTCTGCTTCTGGGAGAAATTGCATCACACCACAGCCAGAGCGCCGTCACAAATGAATTCCCGCTGCCCATGCACCTCATCGTAGCAAAGCATAAAGAGAATTCCCCTTGCACAATACAGCCAGAGCACCGCCATAGTGAAAATCCATGTAGCCCCCCATGCATCACATTGCAGCCAAAGCAACAGCACAATGCTTTTCTCACTCAATATCATCAATAGTGAGGGAAAATTATAGCTAATACACCAAGACAAAACAAGCAGAATCAGTAGTGTAAGAGAAATTCCTACTCAAAGCACCTAAGGCAGGACTGCCACCCCTAAGGATATGCTACCTCACATCAGACTTTACAGCTGACACTGCCAGCACGGGACAAATGGTAATGTCATATCAAAACCAAAGAGTCACCACGCAAGGGAACTTTCTCCACTTTCCTTATGCACACAGACATGAGAGATTTCCAGACTCAGCTTGGAAGCTAGAGATTTCCAATTCCTTTTTCCATTAACTAGCTGTTGTAAAAAAAAATTCCAACCTACCAAAACTAAAAAAGTACTAAGAGAATCGCCCCATTTCAACTACACAGCATATCAAGAATGAGATGAAATTTTCTTTTTCTGTCCTTCAGACCTTACATTGCATGAATACAGTTCTCAGAACTACTCTAGCAACCCACATAAGTCAGAGTACATCAGTTTACGGAAAGTTCATCCCTTAGGGACCCAGCAAAATCAACTAAAATCAGTGACAAACAGCAGTTGGTGACAAAGAGCTAGTCCAGCAGTCTGTTGCACTATTTCTGCTAAAGAGAGTAGTTTCTCTCTATTTTCTGTAGGGTTTATTTTTGTTTATTTATTTGGGTTTTATTGTTTAGGTTTTTTACTCTGTTTCCAATCTGATCACTTTTTCTATTTGGACAGTGCCAAGTACTGTTTCTGGTTTCATTGGAAGAGGATAAGAGAAATAAAGGCTGAAAAAGGAAAAATGATAAAAGAATACGAGAACTACTTCATTAGATAGACATGAAAAGGGCATTTACATGGGTAAATTTTAAGGCTGTAATATATAAAGAAAAAGCACGAAGTCAGTCTACAGAATGCAGGAGAAAAACTCAGGGTTTCAGTAATTAGGGCTTCTGCGACTGGGGTGGAAATCCTCCCTTAAATGTATCCTGACTAGATGTTAGCACATAACAATTTCAGCCTTCTCATCCACACAACAGGGATTAAGAATTCTGCCCCTGTCTATCAGAAGCCTTCTAAAAATGAATACATTAAACACTGCAAGACAGTCAGACACTGCAATCCCTGAAGAGATGAAAAGAACCCAAATCAGAAACTCACTGCTAAGTACTGGGGTCCAAGTGTGTTGAGACCAGCCAGGTTTCCCCATATTGAGGCAGCACTGATCTGTTGCATTTGTTGCTGGAGTTGCTGAGCAATTCGTTTCTGCTCTTTGTCCTTCTGCGTGTCTGCAAATTTTACCACAATGGGAGAAGAGCAGCCCTGCAAACAGCAATTTAAACAGTTACATACTTGCTATCCCCAGCAGTCACAAAAATACTGCATTACAACCCTGTCACTGGAAGCAATTCCCTCCCCCCATATATATTTGAATATATATATATATTCAAATAGCACATTTCATTAAAGGTTTAAAATTGTGTTTGCTTTTAACTCTATTTTGTATTTTGGAAGTTTCTCTGCAGATGAAATTCCTATCTTGAACTCTAAAAATAGGAGCAGAACAAACACAAAGGTCCAGAAACAGTATTTGTGAAGAAACACACACTGCACTTATCCTTCTCTGTATGCCCACTGGTCCCTTAAACTCCACAATGATTGCCTGACAAATTACATCTGCTCCTGACACCCACTAACTTGTTTTACCTCCATGGTTTGTGCTTGGTGCATTGTTTTGATTGCTGTTTGTGCCATGGCTCTTGTTGTAAAAGTCACAAATGCACAACCTGGGAAAAAAGCAAAAAGAAACCAAATCTTCCACTACATCCACAATTACCAGGATGAATACAGAAATCAAAGTGCCTACTGGGCGGGGAGGGGGTGTAGGTGGGAATCACAGAAAAAGTTGAAATGCTATGTTAAGTTGCAAAAGGCAGTATCCTCCAATTGCCAAAAAAGCTTCCTGCTTACCTCTGCTCAGGCCATCTGGGCCCCGTAATATCCTGCATTCTTCAATCTGCCCAAAGGGGGAGAACATCACTCGGATATCATTTTCATTGCACTTCTTGGATATCATTCCAATAAACAACTTCCTATCTTCTACTGCTAAGAAATCAAAAGGTAAAGAGTATTACCAGCAAATATGTGCTTACTAGATCTTATTTTGTCAAGTCTTCTCTATTACCCTGTATTTAGGGTAGAGACTTATCACAACCAGATTCCCAATAACGGACTGTGTTTTCAATTAAGGAGGATGCATATGAGATACTTCAATGAACCTGAAGGATGCCTGTTTTATGATGTTTTATGTTTACAATTCACTGATTTCTCCTTACAAAGCCTGTGAGCAGCAAGAATGTAAAAAAAAAAAAAAAAAAAGGAAAAAATATGTCAGATTCAGCACTTCTCTGTATCTTTTCAGTTCCTGGTAAGAAAAGAATGTGGTTTACTGGACTATTTTCATTGTCTTTCCTCTGCCTCTTCTATCTTTAGACTACCAACATACCTAAATGTATATAAACAAGCAAGTGAACTGCAGAAAGCTGCTTTCTACCCTCCTTCATCATACCAATCACTTAAATTTAGATGTGTCTACTTCCTTATGCTCCTCTCTCAACAGTGCAAGCAACAGTAGTTGCTAAAACAGAACAGTTTTATTTCTGTTATTGATAGGCACCAAAAGTGATATGTACTGATCTGTACCAAAAGCATAAAAATAAGCCATGGACTGTGTTGTACTGTATCTTGCCTCTGAACCCTGATGCTACTAGACACATTAGAGTTGAAGAATACCCTTCAGTGTGCAGGTTATTTTAAAATAAATGGTTCAGAAAGACATTTCTTTTAACTTTTCAGTTAATGGTTACTAATGTCAGTTAAAGGTCACTTGAGGGAGTGGGGTAAATTTGAATTCAGAGCAGAATTTTATACCTCTTGATTTACTTATTTAAGGATGTTAACCACCTTTGAAACACTTTCTTTTATGGGATGAAGCAAATTATGCAGAATAACGCTTGAAAATATAAACCAGTTTAGAAATACAGCATTCATCACAATATAAAATATAGTATGATGAAGGCTGTAGCAGAATTTGAAGCTTCAATTAAGTCTTCTCTGATTCAGTGCCAGGGTGAGGGGAAATCAACTTGTTTGCTGAGTGTGCTATGATGCTAGGAAAGAAAATTCCAGACTATTCCAGCTGATATGACTTTAACTGGCTACTAAATCTTAATGTTGTACTTAGTTCGCTTTCCGCTTTTAGAGTGGAAAGCTGCTTTTTAATACTTTTTGCAATCCATTTTAGTTCAAGAGATCCAGAATCCCTTTTATTAGTAGCAAGTTCAAATACTTTCTTAACTAATGTTTTATTTATTGTTGTCACCTACACCTTTTACTAAAACTCATATAATTATGCAGTAGTCTCAGAATTATCACCCTAAAATTCCATTACTTTTTTTCTTTCCATTATTTTCCCAGGATACTTGTGTGTGTGTGTGTGTGTGTGTGTGTGTGTGTGTGTGTAAAGGAAGATGCATCTTAGTTTAGAGAACCTATTCAGTTCTCCTTCCAACAATACTTCAAAGGAATGACTCCCTTCTATATATATTTACACAGAAACTTATTCTGTAAACACATGAAGGAATTTGCAGATGGAACTACTCCTACTTTATGCTACCCATATATTCCATCGTCTGCTTTCAATTATCTTAAGACCTAAGCTTTCTGAAACAAGGATTATCTTCTCCATGATGCAACACTAATCTTATAGAAACTACTGCAAATGAAGAGAATAAAATTCAGCCAGGCCTAGAAAGGCCGAAACTACAAGATGCTAAACACTTTATTTGCTTATGTTGCAGCAGTATACATAGATACACATATATTTGAACATGCATGTATGTATGTATATAAACTCAAAATGAAAATGCATGACTAAATGATCATTTACCCAGTGCTGGATGCTCAATTCTTAATCCATCTGAAGTGGTCAATGTGCAGAAATACTCAGTTTTTCTTCTCTACCGAACTGTTGTTAATTCTCAACCTTTCTTGTATACTACAAGAAGTAGTTTTGATTCCCACCCTAGCTGCAACAAACTTCCTTCAAAGGCTTTGAGGCCTTGCTCCAAACTGGACAAGCACTTGAAAAAGCACTTCTAGATTTCATAGAATCATAGTATAGTTTGGGTTGGAAAGGACCTTAAAGATTATCTAGTTCTAAGTCCCTGCCACAGTCAGGGATGCCTTCCACTAGACCAGGCTAAAAGCCCCATCCAGCCAGGTCTTGAACACTTCCAGGGATGGGGCATCCACAGCTACTCTAGGCAACCTGTTCCAGTGTCTCACCATCCTCACAGTAAATAATTTCTTCCTAATATCTAATCTAAATCTAAATCTGTTTCAGTTTAATACTGTTATCCCCTGTGCTATCACTAGACTCCTGGATAAACAATTCCTCCCTGTCCTTCTCGTAGGCCTCCTTTAGCTACTGTAAGGTTGCTAGAAGGTGTCTTCTCTTCTCCAGGCTGAACAACCCCAACTCTCTCAGCCCATCCTCACAGGGGAGATGCTCCAGCCCTCTGATCATCTTGACGGCCCTCCCGTGGACATGCTTGAGCTGGTCCATGTCTTATGCTGGGGGTCCCAGAGCTAGATGCAGTACTACAGGTAGGATCTCATAACAGTGGAGTAGAGTAGGAAAATCACATTCCTTGACCTGCTAGCCCTTCTTTTGATGCAGCCCAGAATATGGCTGGTTGGCTGGGCTGCAAGTGCATGCTGCTAGTTTATATTCAGCTTTTCATCCAAAAATACCCCCTAGTCCTTCTCCTCAGGACTGGTCTCAATCCACTTATCACCCAGCCTGTATCCATGTTTGCAGGACCTTGCAAACTTGGCCTTTTGAACTTCATGAGGTTCTCACAAGGCCCACCTCTCCAGCCTGTCAAGGCTCCTCTGGATGGCATCCCTCCCCTCTAGGGTATCAACCACAGCACTCAGCATGACGTCATCCATAAGCTTGCTGAGGGTGCACTCAATCCCACTGTCCACGTCCCCAACAAAGATTTAAACCACCTTAGCACAAAGAAGAACTCACTGGATGTTTCCCTAACTGACAACATGGTTCTACCACAAGCAGCAGCAGTGGGAGATACTCTGAGTCATGGAATTTTGGAGACATCAGTCACAATACCTACTATATTCAAAACATACCTTTCTCTTTTCATATTTTTCTTTTAAAAAATCAGGCCTCCAATTCAAGACTTCACCAAAAGTTGTTTAACAAAAGGGAAATCCTCAAGCTTCCCAATTAGCACAAATAACGCCACCAAACTCAGACTTTAGTAAAGCTTACCATTACTCTTTTCACTGTCAGCTGGTTTCATCTGGATAGGATGGTGCATCTGAAATGTAAAAAAGATTATTTAATCCTACTACATTCACTTCATATTATATGAAATACATCCCATAAGAATTGTGGAAGATATTATAGTCTAAATTGCCTCCAGAGGTGCATATGTAACATTACATAAATTCCTAGAAGAAAGGTTTTCCTAATTACATATCATCATTCCTCCTCAGAGAGTATTATAAAAGCCATGCCCACCCACTTCACTACCATATTATTCTCCTGAATGCTCCAAAATTCCCTTAAGATCTGTTATCATATAAATCTCATGACACTGATCCTTTGAATAGTTGTTTTAAAACATTATTTGAGGGCATGATAACATGTGTTTGTACTTCAGTGGTCCTGGAGCTCAGAAAAACAAGACAGAGTTATGCAGAAAGCAGGACTCCGTTCTTACCCCTGGGAGGATCTTCATGTTGTGAAGAGCATTCTGTGCTTCTAGTGCAGCTTTACGGGTATAAAATGTAACAAAACAGCACCCTGCAATTAAAACAAAATGCTAGCCGGGAAAGAACACCAAATCTTGACATGCTGTACAGAAATTGCAAATCCCACTTCCATCCTTCCAATGCAAAATCTATTCCATCACAATGCTGTGGAGCAACAGAGTATTAATTTGATGTTCTGCTTTGCAATTATAATCCATACTCCTCAAGCATCCTCATCGCTACTGAGCTCTAAAAAAAAAAAAATTATAATTTTCTTCAGCTCAGCTGAAGATCACAGTTCAAGTATAATTAGACAAACACACTTAAAGACTATAAAGCTCAGGCTTGCATGCACACCTGGTCACACAGAGCTCCAACACACAGGGATCTCTGAATAAGCAAACAGCTAAGACTGCAACTGTGTGAAACTGGCTGAAACCCCAAGTGTCACATGAAAAGAAAAGAAGTTCTCACCTTTGCTTTGAGGAGGGTTTTGGCTCCTGTCCCTCAAGACATTGATTTCATAGACAGCACCATACTGTTCAAAAAGTTCTCTTAGATCCTTCTCACACCAGCTCCGTGGGACTTGACCCACAAACATCTTGATAGCATCTAGATCAGGTTGGTCTGGGTGATCCAGTGTGCCATTCATTTTCTTTGAGCTATGAAAAACAAGAAGGAATTTCTGGTTTATATCTTCCACAGATATCTTGCTTACAGCAAGATAAAAAAAATATTTCTACACATATATAAATGTATATGATTAAAATTTACACACAAAGAGAGACTCTTGCACATTCCCAGTACTGCACACAGGAGAATATTCACACTCATTAGCAATCTGTGTACTTGGAAATCAAACACACTCTACACAGCTGTTTAAAACTTTGTCTCTATAATGTAGTCAACACCTGGGATTCAGGATATAAATCTGCTGAGATAACTGAAAAATATCACTAGTTCAACCATGTAAAATTTTATAGAAAAAAAAACAGAACAGAAAGGAATCTAAACTCAAGCCTATTCGGGAACCACTGAAGTTATCAGTAACCACTGAAAATGAGAGGATAACATTTTAAAAATGGTTTTACATGTTACTAACTGTAACTGTTTCCCAAGGTGAAGATCCATCTTTAAAGAGAGAAACAGATACAACTGACTAGATTAGAAGTTTCTTTACAGGTTTACAAGGCAATACCTCTGTGAAACTAAGGAGCTTTCAACAATAATTGGCAAAAAAGCAGGCTAAAATTGTACATGAATAGGTTGGGATTGGACAACCCAGTCAGTCACAAACAATCAGGTTGAGTAATGGTAGGAGGTTAATACAGAAAAAAAGTCACTTAGACTACAAAAACAGAGAAGTTTTGAGTATGGAAATCTTCAACAGGTTTCAAGGCATTATATGTAGCCATAGAACAGTTTACACTCTATTAACAAAACTTGTGTTATGCTCCACCCAGCTAGTTGACAGTCATACACTGTTCTCTGTATTAACTCCTCATTATTTGTTAAGTGCAATATGAGGTCTTGTTATCTATCAGCAGTCACAGCTTGGTATACCAGAGGACCTATCTCTGTGGAAGACTAACTGTAATGACACCCTATTGTAGCTATAGTGATTAGTAGGTTAAAATTGCTGACCAATCCCTGCATAATCTAGAAAGGACATGGGGAGTGGAACAATAACTATACAATGATGCCCCCCGCCCCCAAACTCTTTGTTGAAGAATACAGGTGGCCTTCTTCCAGAGTAGTCAGCTCACTTCATCTCTGTTTTTTCCTTTGAAGATAGTTTGAATAGCTTAATAACTGCACATGACAGTAAACAGTATTCCTCTCACTGTCCATCTGAAACCATATTCCCTCTGAATAGAATTTAAAAAAAATCCAAACCAGGTAATGTTTACTTAATTTTTCCCTCAATATGCTGTTGTTCAGAGCTAAAGGAAAAACTGATGCCAGGGAAAGCTCATAATTTTATAGTTGTATGAACAGACCTCAGAAACAACAAAGCTTCTTACCAGAAGGGAAGGGTATCATCACAAATCCTTTCGCTCCACTCCACCTTTCCACTCAGAAAGGGTCAGCACCTCTTCAAATTGCCAAGGCAAACAATACCTTTTACAGAGATGTAAGCTACCTCTTTTCACTTCAGTTGAAAACAACTGTAAATATTTTACCCTCTTCCAATAATAATTTTCAGCCTTACCTTCTAAGCCATGCATAGCTTCAAGAGCATAGCATGGCTCCTGTTAACTGGGCAACTCTTAATATGACCTCAGCAATATTCAAGAGTTATTTCACTCCTAATTAAAAGGTTTAGTCTGGAGTCATTAATAGGGAAGAACAGTAACTGTTCTCTCCAACAACTGATTTAAATAATCAATTTTATATAATCAATAATATCAGCACCTGTAGCATACCATAAACAATACCACCAAACAGCTTTATTCCTCCTTAGCCCTTATTCCCACAATTATCAGACCATTTTTCCCCCTTAGAAACCAACATCAATTGTCAATGACCACTAGGATTTCTTCAAGAAAACAAACTGCAGGCTCTCCCAGGCCCCCTGCCCCAAGTGGAGTTCATAAGACTGCAAAGGCTTTAGAGACAGCAATTCTAACTATCATTTTAGTTACAACTTAGGCACGAAGATAAAATACTTACACAGGGCTTGCATTCAAGGAGCAATGGTCCACCATCATCTCTGGGAGGAAATCCAACTTGAACGCAGCCATCACCTCAGTCTATGACAAACTACTAACACTAAAGCAGTGTATTGCCTAACCCCCAAACAACGCCACTTCCAAAAGTCCTGCAGGTCTTAACACTCAGCCACACAAAAAACACTCAAACCACAGAAACAGAAGCTCAGGGAGACCAGCAATAGACACCACAGAAACAGGCTGGACTGGGAAAGGGACATGGAATCCCAGATTAAAAAGGGGATGTGACCATGTGAAGGGAGGCTCAGCTTAATACACAATGAAAATGCTGATGCACTAGGCTTGTTTTGTGCAATTTTCCCTGGCGAAGCAGTACTGAGTGCACTGTCAGATAAACAGAGTGTCAGATCCATGAAGATAGCAATGGCTAACAGAGCAGAAAGAATACAAACTCCAGTCTTTCCATCCCCAACTAACTCCTTGTCTCCCAAAATGGCAGTCCAAGGCCTTGAGGTTCAGACAGACACTTCCCACTTTAGCAATATTAAGCTATGAAGTCAAGAGGCTCCTTCACCATAAACATTTTCAATAGCTGATCTCACTCTCTTCATCTTGTGCTCTATTATTGACACTCTCTTAAATTCTATGGCAAAAAATGCCAAGTAAAATGTTTCTCTAAATCTGCAAAAAAAAATCAAAGCTAATAAGATATGATTACTCAAAAATTTCTTAACAACCACATAAAAACTGACTCCTCTTTTTATAGGAGTAAAAAATATATTGTTCTAGAAACAATACTTTGTCCGTCACGCATCTATAAAATAAGAGATATACAGAGCCTATAGATGATAAAGTAAGGGAAAAACCACAACGATTTGGTGAGAACTGTTTTATAATCTTTGGAAACACTAATCAGAACACCTCAGTTGCTTCATCATTAAAACAGGAATGACATGTTGATCAAGGAAATGTGAGGTGTATTTATACACGCAATACAGACTTCTTTTTAAATCTGTAATGGGGAGATAATGTGGATAAAAAGGGATGCACTGTGAGATGCAGAAATATTTGATTGCGGAGAGTGAGTGCTGCAGAGGCAGCTGAGTGTGTCCGAGCACTCCAGTAAGAATGATTAATCAGAGTCAACTGTGAATCCAGATAAGCCTTATATATGGTCAATAACTACAAAATAAACCCTTAGAGCATCAAAGACTGTATGCTGGAACAGCTGTGATCGTGTCTTTCTTGTTTGTTAATGACTGCAACATGTATTTGCAGTTATTTTGACTGGCCAGTCAAAATATACAGCTTTATTTAAGCTTGCACAGTTACAGTATGTCAATTATTTTTTCATAAATAACATTTCCAACCTCGGAAAAACAAGAACATTGCTGATCTTTTGCCTACAGTGAGGTTAATTAAAAGGTTATAAAAAGGATTAGGTCTTATAATACAAAGAGGCATCATGTTACTGCAAAATAAGAGGACACAAATTTCTCACACATCAGATATTCAACAGTAACTACTTCATACACGCTCTTACTATGTGGTAAATGCAAGAAAACTTATTCTTTAACGAAAAAGGTGTAAGCTACATGCTAAGCACCATTTTTAAGAGCATGTAAATAGGCACTAGGGAGCATGGGTCAATTTTTTAGCTTTCAGTAAACTAAATTGTTCAATCTACCTCTAGACATGTATTATGGGCTTCCCACTCGAAAAGTGCCATGTTGCATAAAACACATCATATTGAAATGGTATATTGAGACCAGAGCCCACTTCGTGCATTTCTCTTAATAAAGAGCCTGTAGAGAAAAACACCTCATATTTACATAATTAGAACAGCAGATGATAGGGTGGGGTTCTTGCCATTGATCACTATAGACCGACACTGTAAATTCTGGCCCTACCCATGAAGACCAGAATTCATTCCTTCTGGTCTTCCAGTCGTCATTAGCTTTTTTCAGCAACCAGTAAAGTGCCCCAGCAGCCATGCTCACTGTAGGTTTGACAAAAGATGAAAGATGATGATGGCAACTCTAGAAAATGGGTTTTAAAAAAGTTACTGGGACTGATCAGTTTACTGAAAAAAAATCACTACATCATTATGATTTGAACCTGTGCCCACCCTTTCCCACATCTCTGCTCCTCACAATCAAAGTTCTATCTGCTTGTTCTGATAAAACAAAACTGCAAAGTAACAGGCACAGTTTGGTGGAAAGGAAGAATCAATATTAGAATGGTGACTAAATATCTGAAGGTATGTTAGTCAAGAGTCAGTGCCTCAGGGTGCCGTACTTCTGAAGCAACGGTGGCAACTTCAGTGATGAACCACTAGTGTATAAACAGGTTTGTTTTAACATTATTTAGTTGAAGGCTTCAAGATAGAGAATTAAAATAATTATGGACTTCATTTGTGAAAATAACTTCATTGTGAAAAGAGTGGAAAAAGATAGTATTTCGCTATTGCACAGAAATAAGAATTAAATGAGGATGCAGCCTTTCTTTAAATTAAAAAAAAGTGCAAAAGTAATCCTAACCACTGCTCACAAAGAAAGAAAAATAAGAGCTAAACACACTTATTTTTTGCTCAGATGTCAAATTCCTGCTGGCTTCCAGATCCATTCTTTGACTATTTCTATTCAAAGGATAATGGAAACAATGTCTGAAATTCCAAGCTCTATGGACTGTAGCTACACATTTAAATGTGGTGCTCATCTGACAATATGTACATTAAAAAACTTCTACGTACTAAATATTAGCTCTCACTTTTTTACACTTCTAAAGCCCTAGATGATGCTGTAGAATGTATCACTACAGGTGCTCCTCAGAGATTGCAAAGTACAAATGCTGAAAGTTTTTGCTTTTACGTTTACAGAATTATATTACATCCTGGGGCACAAAACCAAAAATCCTGTATCATATTTTCTTTCCTAAGAAAGCCTAGTTCTAATGAACAATTAATTCTGAAAGCTAAGATAATACTGTCT